TGTTCAAAACCCGAAAAACAGTGCCCATTTCATCAGTATTTCCCATGATTTCTGGTGTATTGCTTTTGTATGCTGGATTTCCAGCTGGAGATTTTGCTTTAGAATACTTTATCTTCCTGCATTTTTGCATTTCTGTTCTGTTCTGTTAAAAATCACTAGTAGCTAAAGAAGCATTTCACATTTCACATCATCCTTTTAAAACTGGTTTTTTTTAGCCCACACAGAATTCATTTCAGAGTTCACAAAACAGTTTTTCTAGATGTAATAATTTATCTTGCAGATGTTACCATTTTATGCCTCCAATATTTAATATAAGAAAACAATCTAGTTGTTTAAAAAAAAAAAATATATATATATATATATATTAGTTTGTCAACCTTACTGAAACATCTAGTAGTTTGAAACAGCAGTGTTGTCCCAAATAATCTTAGCTGAAATTAAAAACCACTTGTGTCTGGACAAAAAAAAAAAAAAAAAAAAAAACCACTTGTGTCTGGACAGATAGTGACCTATAAATATTTCTACTATGTATGTTTTGAACATTTTCCTGTACTTCACTATTTAATGGTGATCTCTAATGTCCAGTTGAGTAATATCCTTAATATTGATAAAGGAAAAAGGCATACTCAAGAGGAAAAGTAATCTTTTAGGGGGAAAAATATTCTGTTAATCAGAGAAAAACTAAACATGTTTTTGTAGACTTTAAAAACATTGAAAAGGATGTAAGCCAATAAGATGACACTCTTTATCATTTATAGAACATAATTCTTTGGGAGACAAAAAAATACACAGGTCATTCATTTGTTCACCTAACCTGGCACTGTGCTTGGTGCTTGGGATAGAATTGTGAATAAAGCAGCAACTGCCTTCTTTGGTGGGATTCCCTGGTGACTCAGATGGTATAGAATCCGCCTGCCAATGCAGGAATCGCAGGTTTGATCCTGGGTCAGGAAGATCCCCTGGAGGAGGAAAAGGCAACCTACTCCAGTATTGTTGCTTGGAGAATTCCATGGACAGAGGAGCCTGACAGGTTACAGTCCATGGGGTTGCAAAGAGTTGGACATGAATGAGTGATTGAAATGATAACAACACCTTTGTAATTCTTACTGTCTACCAGTGGAACATCAGACTAATTATATAAGATACAAATTGTGATGTGTCATGAAGAGAAAGTTAAATGGTCAAACCGACAGAAGAGGAGACATAACATACACTTGATTTTTATTTTTTTTTAACTTGATTTTTAACTGTGGGAACTAGGAAAGATTCTCTGAAGAGGTGACATTTATAGTTTTTGCAAGGACACAATTGTCCAAGTGAGATGATGGCCTAGGGGACAGAGTTTAGATGAAGTTTGGCAAGACATCATGATGGTCTGAAAGAGGGGAAAAGAAAGGGTTTCTAGTTTAAAAAAAAAATATGGCTAGATGCATGAAAGTTCTCTAGGAGAAAGAGTGAGCTGGGGAGCACAGGTTTTGGAAATACCAGTTTCCAAGGCAGGCAGTACTACATGTATGGAATGAAAAATACCAATTTGAAAGTTGTATACAGAGTGGTGTCTAAAAGTTATGGGAATGAATGAGGTTGCTTAGGGTGAAAGTAGAGTGTGAGATAAAGCAACTACAACATTCAGAACCTGGCCAGTACTGGGGCAGCTCGAAAAGGGGACGGAAGAGTAGACAGGCTGGTGGAAAACCAAGACAGGATAACGTCAAGACTGCCTACCAGTCTTTAAGGTGGAGGCAGTCAACTGAAAGGGTAAATGTGGACTGAAAGTTCACTGGATCTAGCAACATGAATTGAGAAGATCATGGGTTGAGAAGATTCCCTGGAGAAGGAAATGGCAACCTACTCCAGTATTCTTGTTTTGGAAATCCCAGGGACAGAGGAGCCTGGTGGGATAGTCTATGAGGTCCCAAAGAGTTGGACATGACTTAGCAACTAAACAACATCAATATAAGAAAAGGGCAACACAATTGTGTGGCTATATTTAATGATAACTAGGAAAACTGTTGCTGCTGCTGCTGCCAGCAGCAGGAAAACTTCTACCGGGACTAACTTTGCACAGAATCCATTCCCACCCGCATAATCCAAGAAAGACTAATTACTCAGAGTGACTTCAATCAAAAGGGTAACATAAATGAGGAGCCACTGTGTCTTTATTGTAACTTTATATGGAGCCCTGGTCGGGGTATCTGTACCACCTAACTGTGAACTCTGGATGCTTCTCACTCCAAAATTCAAGTCTCAATGGTTTCTGTTCGAAGGAGAGACTAATGTCTGTCCAAGACTGAAAAAGGACGACAAATTCTTTGGGCTCCTCTCATCAAGAGGAGGGACCTATTACTCCACCTCTTAACTCTGGGATGTCTCTGCTGGTGCTTTGGTCAACAGAATGTGGCCGACGTGCTACATCGAAGGCTAAGCCTGAATGGAAGTGCACCAACAGCCAGCAAGCACCAGCTGCCGGGGGTGTGAATAAGACGTGTGAATAAGTCGTGTGGAGCCCTCGGCTCAGCCAACCTGCGCTGACAGCTCACTGAAGCCACCCAAGCAAGCCTTGCCCATACAAATGTTAGAAATAATAAATCGTTGCGTTAAGCCACTGGCGTTTGAGGCAGCTTGTTAACGCAGCTATAGTGACCTAGAACTTTGCCTGCTGGGGGAATTTCCCATCTGACTAAGCCGCACAAGGATGTTTTTGCCAACTGCACTGAGGGATACCCTGAGTGGGGACGTTCATGGCCCTCGATGTGTTCGTTTTCCAGCTCTCTCCTTCCTACCTGTTACCATCTCTGTATTGGGAATACCAGCGTTTGTTCCTTTAAATGCCATTTGTCTTTTAAAACGGATTTTAGTTTTGTCCCCTTCCAACTGGAGTTGCTTGCCTGCCCTTGGCACTATGAGACGCGCAAAGCTCAGCACAATGCTTGGATAAATGTTCAGTGAAGAGCATGCGACCCGACTACTCTGGGTACCTGGCGGGCCCCCTCCAGCCTGACTCGGCCGCGCTCCTACCTGCGCCCTGCTGACACCCCCTCCACCCCCCGGGCCGGCTCTGGGCTGTCTCGCGGGGAATCTGCATCTGGCCTGGGGCTCTAGGACTTTCGATACTACTATTATTACTGCTATTATTAGAAAGGGAGTGGCGTCCCTGTTTCCGACGGGGCTTGGCGCCACGGAGGCGGCACCGCAGGACCCCCACCGGAAACCCTCAGCCACGCCCCCTCCCGGCGCTTCCGGTGCTCCGCCCCACGCTGGCCTTGGCGGCTGGCAGAGCGGCCGCATGCGCAGCCGGCCGGGCTCCGGGTCGCACGCGTACCTCGCACACGGGCCTGCGCGCGGCGTGGGCGCGACCGGAAGCAGCAGGTGTGTGAAGCTGGAGGCGCGGCGGGTGCAGGCTGGCAGCGTGGGTCCCGGGTACTGGCAGCGGTCGGGCACCTCCGATCCCGGGACTCTGCAGGCCCCCCGGTGTCCGCTTAGAGTTTGGGTCGACCTGGCTCCACGGTTAGGACCGGTTTATCCTCAACACAGGAGGATCCCAACTTAGGCGTGTTGGGTGACAGCCCTTGGCGCGCCCTACGAGAGCCAAAAAGCCGAAATCAGACATGCACACGGCCGTCCTGAGACTGGATAAGTTAAGTGCTAAGAGATGGGATAGTGTCAGCACAGCCATAGATTTAAGTGGAGCTGGAAGACCGGTAGTGGAACTCCCTGGGGAGAGAGTCCCCAAGCCCTCCTTACTGTTGGAGGACTGTCTGTTTGCCTGGAATATGCTACTCCCATCAACGTGGTAAAAAGCATCAGATGTCGAGACTCAGGTCAGGTATCCCTTCCTCTGTTAAATCTCTCCTAACCTTTCTAGATAGAGTGTAAATTGGTTCCGCTTTCTGTAGTATCAAGGTATAGCAAGAGTGATGAAAATATGAAGACTCTGCCATAGAAATTATTTGTCCAGGACGTAACTACAAAATAACTTGACCTAGTTATGGATTTTAGTACCCTAGTCCATCCCAGGCGTTTAACTTAGAAGAAAATTATGACCATGGCTTTAACCTAGAAAATTATGACCATTCTAAGAAATGGAATTAAATGGTTTCTTTACAGTCATAACTAGTCAGAATACTTCATTATTATAGCTAGTATTTTCACTCTTTTCATCAGCACTGCTAACAAATGTGTGAAGTGTTGAAACATAATAAAATTGTTCCTAACCTTTCTGTATAACCTTGCTACTGTGACCTCTCCCCTGACCTCAGGAGAATCCATCCTAATTTAATATTGAACAAAATAAAACAGGCTGCCAGTAAATCATGTATCTCACAGTCAAATATAAATTACATTTCAAGTATTATAAGGACATAAATCTTTCTACACTGATGTTCATTGTTGGTAACACAGAAGAACTAGAAACAACCTAAACTTACAAACTAAGAGATTGGTTGAGTAAAAGGTGGTGTTATCTGACAATGAAATATTACACATTAAGACTGATGTAAAAATTGGTTTAACATTGAATTAAATAACAGTTTGGTTACACTTCTGGTGGGGAAGTGTGTGTGGATTTACATATGCACAGAATGGGTATACACCAACATGTTAGTTGTAATTACCTCCCAGTGATGGTATTATGGATTCCTTTTTTTTTTTTCTTGCCTGTCTATATTTTCTCATTTTTTTCAATGTGTATTACCTGTGAATTCAAAATAATTTTTTGGCTTTGAGGCATATTACATAATTATTTTCAGCTTTATTATTTGAATAATCTCTGCCCTTATTCCACTTCAGCTAAAACAATTTGATGTTTGTATGATTTATTTCCTTTGAGTACTCTGTTGGAGAAGTTTTATTAAAGACTAATGGTAAAGCTAAAAGGCAAGAAAAGCAATCAGACTGGATACTTAGATAAGTTTGGATCAAATAACCAAGAAGTGATAGCAACAAAATAGAATTTAATTTTCTTTTTCTCGATCATTAATTTGTCTTCCATTTTTGACAGCATGCTAATCCCATTCTCCATGAAGAATTGCTTCCAGTTACTTTGTAATCTCAAGGTCCCAGCAGCTGGCTTTAAAAACACAGTTAAAAGTGGACTCATTTTACAGTCGATTTCCAATGATGTTTACCACAATCTGGCTGTGGAAGACTGGATCCATGACCACATGAACTTAGAAGGCAAGCCGGTCCTTTTCTTGTGGAGGAATTCTCCCTCTGTGGTAATTGGTCGGCATCAGAACCCTTGGCAGGAATGTAACCTGAATCTGATGAGAGAAGAAGGTGTGAAACTGGCTCGGAGGAGAAGTGGAGGAGGCACAGTCTACCATGATATGGGTAACATCAACTTGACTTTTTTTACAACCAAGAAAAAGTATGATAGGATGGAGAATCTAGAATTAGTTGTGAGAGCCCTGAAGGCTGTCCAGCCACACCTGGATGTGCAGGCTACTGAAAGATTTGACCTTTTACTTGACGGACAGTTTAAAATCTCAGGAACAGCTTCCAAGATTGGCCGCAATGCAGCTTATCACCATTGCACTTTGCTATGCAGTACTGATGGGACCTTCTTATCATCTTTGCTGAAGAGCCCCTACCAAGGGATCAGGAGCAATGCCACTGCCAGCACACCTGCCTTAGTAAGAAACCTTATGGAAAAAGATCCCACTCTGACCTGTGAAGTAGTGATAAATGCTGTTGCCACAGAGTATGCTGCTTCTCATCAAATCGATAATCACATTCACCTAATAAACCCAACAGACGAGACAGTGTTTCCTGGAATAAACAGCAAAGCCAGAGAACTACAGACCTGGGAATGGATATATGGCAAAACTCCGAAGTTCAGTGTAGACACTTCCTTCACTGTGTTACATGAACAGTCACACTTGGAAATTAAAGTATTCATCGATGTCAAGAATGGGAGAATTGAAGTCTGTAATATTGAAGCACCTGATCATTGGTTGCCACTGGAAATATGTGACCAGTTAAATTCAAGTTTTATTGGTAGTAAGTTTTGCCCAATTGAAACGACAGTGCTAACAAGTATATTACATAGAACATATCCAGGCGATGATGAACTACACAGTAAATGGAATATTCTGTGTGAAAAAATTAAGGGAATAATGTGATTCCAAGTAAATTTCTTAATGTTGACAGTTTTGATGAGAAAATTAAAATGTTTACAGTGCCTTGTCTTTTTAAATTTTATTCTTGGCTGTGCGTGGGCTTTCTCTAGTTGCAGTGCGTGAGCTTCTCATTGTTGCAGAGCTCAGGCTCTAGCCTTGAAGGCATCAGTAGTTGTGACTTGAAGGCTATAGAGCATAGGCTCAGTAGTTACAGCACACTGGCCTAGTTACCCTGGGGCATGTGAAATCTTCCTGGACCAAGATCAAACCGGCGTCCCCTGCATTGACAGGTGGATTCTTAACCACTGGACCACCAGGGAAATCCCTGTCTGTCTTCATTGTTTTTAATACTGGGCCGGCTAAAGCATTCATTCAGGATTTTCCATAAGATGTTAATGGAAAAACCAAAGCAAACTTTTTGGCCAACCCTATACTTGACTGCACTTGTATTTCAGCTCTTTCTTTTATTACCATCTTGGGGTTGGATACCATATTGAACACTGACCTCACAGTTCTTTTTCTTACCAGTAGGGAATAATAACCCTGGCTTCTTGATACCATAAACTATAAATTTCTCCCTTTTTATTACATTTCCTTATCCTTTCATTCTCTCCCACTAAATCAAGCTTACTGCACGTTTCTAAGCCAATAACTTCTCTCCAGTCTCTTGCTTCATCTCCATTTCTTACCAGCATTCTCACATTTCTCTTGACTTATCATAGCCACTTTTTTTTTTCAACAATTGATTTTCCACTCCTATAACTAGATGGTGGGCGATGCCAGAAGAAAATTCACATAATCATGCAGATTAGGGTCTTCTCAGGCAGCGCTAGTGGTAAGGAATCTGCCTGCAATGCAGGAGATGAAAGAGACATGAGTTTGACCCCTGGGTGGAGAAGATCCCCTCAAGTAGGAAATGGCAACCTGCTCCAGTATTCTTGCGTGGAAAATTCCATGGACAGAGGAGCCTGGCAGGCTACAGTCCACAGGGATGCAAAAAGTTGGACACAACTGAGCTCATGCACGCACATGCTCACATATGCACATGCTCACACACAGATTCGCCCAATTTTATATTTATAGTTTTTCACTTGTTTTTGTTCTTTAGGTGTCAGATTCAACTCACCCCTGTTGACTGCCTCTCATTCACCAGAGGCCTTACTCCTAAATGCTCCCACTCCTCCTAAGCTGAGAATTCTACTCTTAACTAATCTGGTCACAAACCTTCATTTATAATTTGAAGGTGGAGGCTTTCAGAAATGAGTTCCTTCAGCTGCTTGTTTTCTACTTCAACTTTTCTCATTTCATTCAATCTCAGAGAAACACATACCTCCTCTTCCTTAGAGCTGAGCCCCTAGTTGTACTGTGAATTTTTCTTCTCCAGGTTTTTTTAAATATTTAAACTGCACAGGGTGTCAGTTGCATCACTGGGATCTTTTGTTGCAGTGCACAGATTCTCTAATTGTGGCCCTGGGGCTTAGTTGCTCCAAGCATGTGAGATCTTACTTCCCCAACCAGGAATTAAACCCCTGTCCCCTGTATTTCAAGGCAGATTCTCAACCACTGGACCACCAGGGAAGTCTCCTGTTTGTGCTTTGTACTATCAATTATTTATCTCCTTTATCTCGCATAAGTCTATCTCAACTTTTACTGAATCATTAGCCTTAGTGAATGGACTTGCGAATGTCTCCCCTTTCTCAGAGACTCCTGCTCAAGGGTTTACTGTTTCTTTCCACTGCATGGTTGCCAAACTGCTTCAAAGAGTACCACCCCTGCCAACCATTTCCTGTCTCTATAGTTCACTCACATACTCCTCATTTCTACACTAGTTCCTGTTTATTGAGTGCCTACTCTGTGCCAGATACTTTGCTAGTTGTTGGATGTTCCTGGTAAAAGAGACATGGTCACCAACCTTAGGAAATGACAATTTAGTGCAGTGGTTTTCAAACTCTAAAAACTAGAGTAAAAAATATATCTTACCTGGTGCACCAGCATACACGTATGTTGTCTGTTTCACAATATGAAGCTTACCCTTTACTACATACTTAAATGATATTTTATATTCAATTTTATTTCATCTTAAAAATTAACTTTATGACCCATTAATAGGTCAAGACTTAAGTTGTTTAAAATAGGGAAAGTAGACAAACCAGTAAATGCTCACAAAATGAGAAAGTATGAAAAAACAGTCCAGGCGGGTAGACAATACGGGATCCCCACTTGGAGCCATCAGGGACCTGACACTGATGTTGAGCCTTGAGGAATGAAGAGGCAGCCATGCAAAGTGGAGCAGGGAGGAGAGCAGTCATGCTGCATCAGCGATCCGTTGCTACATTCCAAACCACTCCAAAACTTGATGGCTAAAACAACGGTCATTTATTTTATTCAAGGTCAAGGTGACAGCAGGTTTGGTTTCTTCTGAAGCTCGTCTCCTTGGCTTGCAGGTGGTGCCATCTTGCTGTGACTTCACACAGTCTTTCCTCGGTGCATATCTGAGTCACGATGTCCACTTTTTATAAGGACACCCATCATACTGGATTAGGATCACCTACAGACATAACTTATTTCTTTGAAAACCTTATTTCCAAATATGGTTATATTCCCAGGTACCAGGGATTGGGATTTAAACATGTGAATTTCTAGGGGTTATGTGTGTGCACAATCACCCCTTAACAGAGGGGTTTCAGGGTCCTCCCCAACCCCAGACTACTCTGCCCAACTCTTCCTATGACCTCTACCTGGCTTTGTCCCTTCACACTATTCACTCTTGATTTGAAATCTTCAAGCTTTTCCAGATGTGATGTTCAGAAGGGCACTCTCCAACACCAGGACTTCTGTTTCCTTCTACAGACTTTGGCTTAGCTTATTCTTCAAGCTTCTGGTCTGCCCACTCTAGCAGTATCCCCTCTCCCAGCTGATCCCCATGGGACCTAGTCTGTCCCCCAACCAGTCAACTGGCATCTCAATGGATAGGCTTTCCCAGGACAATTGATGCTAAGATGCAGAGCTTTACAGATGTTCCAGTCAAGGTTAGGTGAGCTGCAAAATGCATCCGGTATTACTAAAAGGCTTGATTTGCCTTTATAAGGAGTTAAGTAATAGAGGATAACTGAATTTAGGTAAATGTCTGCTAAAGACACATAATTGTAGGGACTTCCTGGGTGGTCCAGTGGCTAAGGTGTTGATTCATTCATCAACATCCAAATAAGTGAAAATCTGGGGAGATGTTTCAACTAGCTATACTTGAAACACTATAACTCTGAGTAACTTATTGATAAAAGTATTCAGGACTGGTCACACAACTGAACAAGGAATCCATACATTAGTAGAAATATAAAAATTTATTGTTAAATTCATACATTATAGGAATGATCTGTCCAAAGTTTAAAAAAAAAAAAACCCCAACATTCATTTAAAGTATAAATATATATGTAAGTTAGGCTACTATCCATCATATTTTTTTCGTGTGCTTATTGTGAAAAATGTCCACTGTTGTTTCATGACATGGTCTTAAATCAAAATCACAATATCCAAGGGAAAAACGACTCTAAGAAGAGAAGAAAAGAGGTTTTTTTTAACAAAAAGGATCAAAGCCATTTTGTTAAAGAATGCTACACAGTCACATAAGACTATATCCTACCTGTGGTTTCTTAAAATAATCAAGTCCCCTTCCAATCTTAATCATCCATCCATTGTTGAACCTATTGAAATTAGCATATAGTATTATACTCCAGACATTTAAGTCAGACGATGATCAAGGTTGTATGAAGTGTCAGCTAAATCTCCCCCTAACAAATAAAATCACTTCTTTCAGTGGCAAGAGTTGAACCAAACCTGGGTTTACCTATGGGCTGTGTCTACAATGAAACAAAACAACAATTAGCTGATAAAAGAGTTTAACAATTCAATTAAACCTTCCTCATGAATTTCATCTTCCTGAGAAAGCTTCCCTGTTCTGCTAACAAGTGGCTTCCAAGTGTACTCAGGCAGACTGGTGGTGTCTCAGGGCCTTCCCCGCCTAGAGGTGGGGATGTACCAAGGCAGAGGAGGCCCCAACGGGTACAACACAGCATCCTGTCATGCCTACTAGAAAATTTAATAAACTATAAGAAGTAAAGCCAAATTAAATAAATACCAGTATCACCAGAAAAGGAAATTATCCCAATGGCATAATACTGTATGTATAATTGGATAGAAAAGTACTTCCTTTGCTCAGATGACACAGAACATGTCAATTTTATTCCATTAGGAAAGAGGAAACTCACACAGAGGACAAAATTACCCAGATTTTTTTTTCTTCAAAAGTGAAAAATACTAAAATTAAGCTTTATTTAAATTTTTAATATTTAAGTGGAATATTATATGTAATTATAAATAACATGAGAAATAAAAATAAGTATTTTTCAACTGCATAAAAATTAAAGTATTAAAAAAAATTAAAGCATTACTATATACTAACCTAATTTCTCGGTCATGTATTGAAGAAGAATATTCTAGTTCCAAATGCACTCCGTGATTCCTAAGTGACTGTTTTATCTCTTCCAGGCCACTACTCTGCTGCTCTTTCCCAGTGCCCTGTTAATACGGAAAAAAAAACCAAAACATTTTTTGACTCAGTTATTAATATTTTAAATTATTCCTAAGCTATGCAATGTGTTGTGTTCAATTGCATAGCTGTGTCATTGGCAGGTAGATTCTTTACCGCTGAGCCACCTGGGAAGTGCATGCAATGTGTATCTTAGGTGAATTAAAATATAAATATTCTACACTAGTTTCACTGTCCATTAATGCAAAGAGGCAACCAAAGAAGATGAAGTAGTTTAAGAGCAACTGTTTTTATCAAAATAATCATTTTTTTTCTAATGTGAACATAATACAACTTGGTGCCATCTCCTAAGATGTATTTTAATGGTGCTATTTATTCAGATGAGGATTTCTTCTCAAATTAATCCTAGAAATATGAATTGTTTAGAATTATCCCTATTTAAATAAAAATCAACATAGCGATGATAGAAACTATCAATACTGCAGACAGAGTGACTGACTCATAGAACATCCAAGAAACTAAATTGACAAACTATTTGAATAAGAGAGCTTAGCTAAGCAGCCAAATGCAAGGTACAACATACTAAAATCAACAGCATCTCCTCCAATGTGTTTTATACCTATTCCCAGGTGGCTCAGGAGTAAAGAATCCACCTGCCAATGCAGGAGACGCAAGAGACGCAGGTTTGATCCCTGGGTCGGGAAGACCTGCTGGAGGAGGAAATGGCAACCCACTCTCAGTATTCTTGCCTGGAGAATCCCATGGACAGAGGAGCCTGGTGGGCTACGGTCCATGGGGCCGCAAAGAGTCAGACGCGACTGAGCATGAAGATAGCAAGTTCATTTCCAATGAAACAGCTCTGGCTGAAGCATTACATCCAAGTTTGCTTTGAACTACATCCTACAACTGAGTAAAGTTCATGATGTTAAAAAAGAGTAAATGCTTTCAGGTACCTACTTCATCCAGAGAGGTGAGAAGATGAATAGTTTTTACTTTACATGGTCTCTTAACCAGCATCTCACAAAATCGAAGGAAGTTATACAGCTGAAAGATATTAGGATAGGTTATTACTAACTCGTACATGTTAAATAATAACTATTTCATCCTATGTGAGTACATTTCACCTACCTGATGTGTGTGTCTAATATAAGGATCTTCTATCCAAACTTCTGTAACTGTTTCACTCAGGTATTCTTGAAAAAGGGACTCATAGCTGAAACCTGTTGCATTCTCTTCTATTTTAATTTGCTTGTGATATTTTCCAGCTACAAAACAGAAGCTTCTGTAATAAAACCAGTGACTACTTGTTTTCTTTTTATACATACTATATTTATATACAGTGAAAAATCAGGAGCACATACAAGTTAATGTTTTTAAACTCATGCACTCAGTGAGCATTTTCGAATGCTTAATCTACACCAGACACACTGCAAGATGCTACACACACACAGAGGTAAATAAGGCAAACCTTCCAATGAGGGAGTTTTGCCTTCATGGAGGCCAGGCAAATGGGAAAGTCCAGAGATTTCTTGGAATAGGTTCTTGAGCTAAATCCTATAGAACCAGTTAGTTTATTCAGGAGAGAACCATATTGTATATAAATATATCTAATATTTTTGTCACCATGAGTAGAATCATAAGCTATGATTCAGTGGGCAACTGGTCTTTCTCTTCAGATTTAAGTCTTTTTATGTCTTGCAATTTAATACCTGAGGTATTACATATATGGCTTCCCCGATGGCTCAGCAGTAAAGAATCCACCTGCAATGCAGGAGACTCAGGTTTGATCCTTGTGTTGGGAAGATTCCCTAGAGAATTCCAGTATTCAACCCACTCCAGTATTCTTGCCTGAAAAACCCCATGGACAGAGGAACCTGGTGGGCTACAGTCCAAAGGGTCACAAGGAGTCAGACATGAGTGAGTTACTAAGCACACATTAAATATATAAATGCAATATAATATGGAGTCTAGGAGTCTTAGAACTTATAGACAGAGTGTTAAGTAGAAACTTACAGTACTTCTTAATAATCCAAGCTAAAGACTAGAATGCCACAGGGCCAGCAGGGGAGTTCTATTGTTTTTGTTCATTCAAAATGAATAATTATTGAGTAAGTTATCAAAGAACTTTAAGGTTTTTTTTAAAAAAATATGATCTTTAATGGTAGTTCCTGATTCATATGGTGGTTGCACTTTTAAACTTTGTTTGAAAATCAGTGGTTTGGATTCTGTTCCTACTATCTCAAAACAGAAAAAGTTACAAACTGTGCATCAGTTTTCAAGCCAAGCTAGTCACACAGGTTAGTTTAAGCCAGTGTATTCAAGCCACAAAGTTGATGGTGCTCTATTTCCTTCAGATTTCAGAGGGAAACTGCATTGCAGGTTTCAATTTGGGATGAAGTAAACAATTTTATTACTCCTCAACAAAGTAGCCAGATAGCCAGGTTAATCTGGGCAGCCAGGTTTTGGGATAGTACAGAATACCAGGAAGGGGTGTGCAGAGGCTGGAGTAAAGAGGAGCTGAGGGCTGGGGGACACTGTTTTTGGTTGTTTTTTTTTTTTTTGAGGACAGCAGTTCCTTTGACTGTAGAATGCAGCAGCTGTGAAATGTCAGGTGGCAACAGCCGTCTATATGTCTGTAAACTGGATGCTCAAAAAGTAGAGAATTATAAAAAGGGAGCCATACCTCCTGCATCTCTCATCACTGTGACTGCTCAGTCATGTCTGACTCTGTGACCCCATGGACTACAGCCCACCAGGCTCCTCTGTTCATGGGATTTCCCAGGCAAGAATACTAGATGGGTTGTCATATCCTCCTCCAGGTGATCTTCCCCACCCAGGGATCAAACCCATGTCTCCTGCATTGGTAGGCTGATTCTTTACCACTGCGCCACCTGGGGAGCCCCCAGAGAACCAGTTATAAATAGGGAACCATACCTTCTGCATCTCTCATCATTAAGAATACCTAACTCCTAAAATGTTCTGATTCAAGACAAAAATCTCAAAGAAGCCCTGGGCATTTCTTGAGCTACTTTAATATTTTGGTCATTTTGTAAAGGGAGATACAAATAAAATACAGGCTTTACATTCAGTATTGCTCTGTAGTAATAGTGAAACCAGAATCCACACAGAAGCTTCATGGGGATCATGAATTCCTTAAAATGGCATGCAAAGTTCTGCAGGATGTAGAGCTGTCCTCAAATTCTCAGGAGGGTATCCGACTGTCACCTTCCCCGGAGCAGAAAACAAAACAAAACAGGGCAAAGGGCCTTCCCTTGTGGTCTAAGACTCTGAGCTCCCAGTGCAGGGGTCTGCGTTTGACCCCTGGTCAGGGAACTAGGTCCCATACACTGCAACTTAAAAAAAGAGTCCCTGTCTTTTTTTTTAGTGATGCAACTAAGGCCCAGTGTAGCCAAATAAATAAATATTAAAAAAAAAAAAAGTTATGAATTGGAAATGCAGAGGAGACCTGTAAGCTCCCAAGGGTAAACAGTCCAGACCACGCAGAGCTCCAAAGGGCACAGCCAGAAACACTGGGTGAAACAGGCTTTGTCACAAGAGCTCAGGCACACACTCTCCAAAGTAGCCTCCTTACCTTCTTTTTCTTGGTCCAAGGATTTCTTTATGTGTTCTGCTCTATCCATGTAGTCAGAAATTCTTTTTCTGAGATTACACTTCTTTGTTTCATCTTTGGTGCCTACAAATTAAAAAATAGACTCTCAAGATTCCAAACAGGCTTTCTCTTTGGTAGAGGCAGTGTTTCCTAAGTTTTCCACGGATTTCCTGTCCTTTGGCATGGTTCGCCTTGGTCCTAAAATACACAAATAATAGGTCCCAATTTGTGATCCTATACAACCTTCACCTTTTCACTGAGCATCGGAAGCCACTTTATTTAGGAGTGGGGACTCTGACACTTTGACTGACAGCTGGGGACACTCAATCAGGTGTGGAAATAAAGGTGGCTTATTACATGTCATAACTATGAGCACTATTTTGTTCCAATTACCCATAAGTTTGAAATCTTAGCATAATCAAAAGATAGCAAACAACATCTTTCTTCTACAAAACCAGTCTCTACCCCAGCTTATGTTATCTCATTTTCCCAGCCATCCCAAAATCAAAGGCATTTTTGAGTACACATTATCGATAAAAGCTTATCCCAAGCCCTACCTCCAACCAGTTACCAAATTACTTCTGGTCCCTTCCTTCCTCCCTTTCAATACTGCTTTCATTTTTCGCTTTAATTTCATTTTTAAACTCTGTTTTTAAAAACATTTTGAATTAATTGTATATTTATGGAAAAGCTAAGAAAATGGCAGAGACAAATGAAGGCAAATCCCTTCATCCAGACTGCCTTATATTAACATATTACACAACTACAGTACAATGATCAGAGCAAGCATGTGAAAGTTGATACAATACTATTAGGTCATCTACATACCTTATTGGTATTTCACTAATTATCCCACTTTATTGTCCTTTATTGTGCCCATCTTTGGGTGAAATATTCCCTTGATATTTCCAATTTTCCTGAGATCTCTAGTCTTTCCTTTTTGTTGTTTTCTTCTAGTTTTATGTACTGTTCATTGAAGAGGGCCTTCTTGTCTCTCTGTGCTATTCTCTGGAACTCTGTGTCTAGTTGGATGTAAAACTGGAAATATCAAGGGAACATTTCACCCAAAGATGGGCACAATAAAGGACAAAAAACAGTAAAGACCTAGTAGATGCTGAAGATATCAAGAAGAGATGGAAAGAATACATGGAAGAACTGTACAAAAAAGGTCTTAATGAACCAGATAACTCTGATGACGTGGTCACCCAGAGCCAGACATTCTGGAGTTCAAAGTCAAGTGGGCTTTAGGACTCACTGCTGTTAATAAGGGAGAAGGCAATGGCACCCCACTCCAGTACTTTTGCCTGGAAAATCCCATGGACGGAGGAGCCTGGTAGGCTGCAGTCCATGGGGTCGCTAAGAGTTGGACACGACTGAGCAACTTCACTTTCACTTTTCACTTTCATGCATTGGAGAAGGAAATGGTAACCCATTCCCGTGTTCTTGCCTGGAGAATCCCAGGGACAGGGGAGCCTGGCGGGCTGCCGTCTATGGGGTCGCACAGAGTTGGACACGACTGAAGTGACTTAGCAGCAGCAGCAGCAGCTATTAATAAAGCTAGTGGATGTGATGGAATTCCAATGCTCACTCACTTCAGTTGTGTATGACTCTGTGAGACTCCATGATTCTGTGAGACTCCATGCCTCTTTAGTCTTCTCCAATCTGTAATCGTTTAGTATGTTTCTGCCTTTTATGGCCTTGACATTTAGGAAGGGTAAGCGGTCAGTTATTTTGTAGAATGTGTCTCATTTTGGGCTGCTGCTGTTTTCTAAGGATAAGATTGAGGTTAAATATATTTTTAGCAAGAAAATCAAAGAAGTGTTGTGCCCTTCTCAGTGGGTACATGAGGTCAATATGTCTTATTACTGGAGACGTCAACTCTGATGACTTGGTTAAGGTGAAGTTTACAGATTTCTCCACTAGAAAGTCACTATTTTCTATTTTGTATGAAAAAGCTATCTTGTGGGTAAATATCCTATCTCTCTTTACTCTTCATCCACTATATTTTAGGATCCACTGATGGTCTTTTTTTTTTTTTTTTGGCCATGGTATGCAGCATGTGGGATCTTAGCTGCCCAACCAGGGATTGAACTTGAGCCCCTTGCATTGGAAGACAAAGTCTTAACCACTGGACTGCCAAGGAAGTCCCATTGATGGCCTTTCCCTGTAACAATTACTACTGCAGTATTTGCCAAACGGTGATTTTCTATTTCCATCATTTCTACTTAATGTATTAACTGGAATTCCACTGTAAGGAAAAGCTGTCCCTTCTCGCCCATCTACTTATTTATTCTACTAATAATTTATATCAATATGGACTCATGGATATTTTACTTTATGGGTTGTAATTGAAAACTATCATCATTTTCTTTTTTTTACTTTATTTTTTTTATTGAAGGATAATTGCTTTACAGAATTTTGCTGTTTTCTGTCAAACCTCAACATGAATCGGCCACAGGTATACATATGTCCCCTCCCTCTTGGACCTCCCTCCCATCCCAACCCTCTAGGTTCATACAGAGCCCCTGTCTGAGTTTCCTGAGCCACACAGCAAATTCCCGCTGGCTCTCTATTTTATATATGGTAATGGAAGTTTCCATGTTACTCTCTCCATACATCTCACCCTTCCCTTCCCTCTCCCCGTGTCCATAAGTCTGTTCTCTATGTCTGTTTCTCCATTGCTGCCCTGCAAATAAATTCTTCAGTACCATTTTTCCAGATTCCGTATATATGCCTTAGAATATGATATTTATCCTTCTCTTTCTGACTCACTTCACTCTGTATAATAGGTTCTAGGTTCATCCACCTCATCAGAACTTACTCAAATGTGTTCCTTTTTTATGGTGTAATATAAAAATGTAGTAATATTCCACTTTGTATATGTACCACAACTTCCTTATCCATTCATCTGTCGATGGACATCTAGGTTGCTTCCATGTTCTAGCTATTATAAATAGTGCTGCAATGAACATTAGGGTACATGTGTCTTTTTCAATTTTGGTTTCTTCAGGGTATATGCTTAGAAGTGGGATTGTTGGGTCATATAGTGGGTTTATTCCTAGTTTTTTAAGGAATCTCCATACCGTCTTCCATAACGGCTGTATCAATTTACATTCCCACCAACAGTGCAAGAGAGTTCCCTTTTCTCCACACCATCTCCAGCATTTATTGTTTGTAGACTTTTTGATGATGGCCATCTCACTGGTGTGACGTGATATATCACTGTAGTTTTGATTTGCATTTCTCTAATAATGAGTGATGCTGAGCATCTTTTCATGAGCTTGTTAGCCATCTGTATGTCTTCTTTGGAGAAATGTCTGTTTAGGTCTTTTTCCCTCTTTTTGATTGGGTTGTTTTTCTGGCATTGGGTTGTATGAGCTGCTTGTATATTTTGGAAATTAATCCTTTGTCAGTTGTTTCATTTGCTATTATTTTCTCCCATTCTGAGGGTTGTTTTTTCACCTTGCTTATAGTTTCCTTTGCTGTGCAAAAGCTTTTAAGTTTAATCAGGTCCTACTTGTTTATTTTTGTTTTTATTTTCATTACTCTAGGAGGTGGGTCATAGAGGATCTTGCTTTATGTCATTGAGTGTTCTGCCTATGTTTTCCTCTAAGAGTTTTATAGTTTCTGGTCTTGCATTTAGGTCTTTAATCCATTTTGAGTTTATCTTTGTGTTTGGTGTTAGGAAGTGTTCTGATTTCATTCTTTTACATGTAGCTGTCCAGTTTTCCCAGCACCATTTGTTGAAGAGCCTGTCTTTGCCCCATTATATATTCTTGCCTCCTTTGTCAAAAATAAGGTACCCACAGGTGCATGGGTTTATTTCTGGGCTTTCGATCTTGTTCCATTGGTCTGTATTCTGTTTCTGTGCCAGCACCATACTGTCCTGATGACTGTAGCTTTGTAGTATAACCTGAAGTCAGGAAGGCTGATTCCTCCAGCTCCATTCTTCTTTCTCAAGACTGCCTTGGCTATTCGGGGTCTTTTGTGTTTCCATATGAATTGTGACATTTTTTGTTCTAGTTCTGTGAAAAATGCTATTGGTAATTTGATAGGGATTGCATTGAATCTGTATACTGCATTTGGTAGTACGGTCATTTTCACAAACTTGATTCTTCCTACCCAGGAACATGGAATATCTCTCCATCTGTTTATGTAGTCTTTCTTTCCTTAGTGTTCTATAATTTTCTGTGTACAGTTCTTTTGTCTCCTTAGGTAAGTTTATTTCTACTTAATTCTTTTTGTTGTAATGGTGAATGGGATTGATTTCTTAATTTCTCTTTCTGATTTTTCATTGTTAGTATATTAGTATATAGAAATGCAAGTGATTTCTGTGTATTGATTTTGTATCCTGCATCTTTGCTAAATTCACTGATTAGCTCTAGTAATTTTCTGAACTATTTTTAGGGTTTTCTACGTACAGTATTATGTCATCTGCAAACAGTGAGAGCTTTACTTCTTCTTTGCTGATCTGGATTCCTTTTTTTCTTTTTCTTCTCTGATTGCTGTAACTATGTTGAATAATAGTGGTGAAAGTGGACACCCTTGTCTTGTTCCTGATCTTAGGGGGAATGCTTTCAGTTTTTTACCATTGAGAATAATGTTTGCTGTAGGCTTATCATATATGTCCTTTCCTATGTTGAGGTAGGTTCCTTCTATGCCCATTTTTTGAAGAGTTTTAATCATAAATGGGTGCTGAATTTTGTCAAAAGCTATTTCTGCACCTATTGATATTATCATATGCTTTTTATCTTTCAATTTGTTAATAGGGTGTACCACATTGATTGATTTGCGTATATTGAAAAATCCTTGCATTCTTGGAATAAACCCAACTTGATCATGATGTATGGACATTTGATGTGTTGCTGAATTGTGTTTGCTAAAATTTTGTTGAGGGTTTTTGCAGCTATGTTCATCAGTGACATTGGCCTGTAGTTTTCTTTTTTGTCTTGTCTTTGTCTGGTTTTGGTATCAGGATGGGAAACTATCATCATTTTCTTGCTTAAATATTATCAGCATTGGCTTTGAGAGCTCCTGTGTATTTCTGACATACCCCATTATTTTTTGAGTATTTCCTTACATTTTGGTGCAAAACGTAGTTTTCTTGCTCCAGCCCCAGAATTAACCATTTCTCCCAGAGACTTTGGTTTCTTTTATTGGAGAATGGTATCAAGAGATCATATTCTGAGTGCTAAGTGTGCTCACTGTAGCTTGGGGAAAGTCTAGGCGCTTTCTGTCAATACAGGCAGAATGTCTACGGAGGTTTACTAATACATACATCTCTATTGCTGTATCTGTCCATCTGCATCAAAACCCACAAATTCACATTAACTTTGATCCCACAGGGTTCATTCTAGCTTTCCTCCTTTCCTCACCTATAACTTCTTTCATTATCCACAATATATTTACTAGCTTGTTCCTGGTTAAATCCCTGGGTAGGGAAGATCCCCTGGAGAAGGAAATGGCTACCGACTCCAGTATTCTTGCCTGGAGAATCCCATGGATAGAGGAGCCTGGCAGGCTACAGTTCATGGGGTTGCAAAGAGTCGGACATGACTGAGCAACTAATACTTTCACTTTCAAGTTCAGTATAGACATCAAGCAGTTTCAGAATTCTTAAGCCATACTATCATGAGAAAAAAAAATTAACCAACTAAAATATAATGTTTGGGGACTTCCCTGGTGGTCAGGAGGTTAAGAATATGCCTTCCAAGGCAGGGGACTCGGGTTCAATCCCTGGTCAGGGAACTAAGATCCCACATGTCACAGGACAACTAAGCCCATCTGCCTCAACTAGAGAACCCATGCTGCAACGAAGACTCAGCACAGTCAAAAAAGAATGAAAAAACAAAACCTGCTTTGCCACTTTTAGCTGTGTGTGATCTTGGCCAGTTATTCAACCTCTTTTTATCTTCTTGTCTAACATGGAAAGAGTAACAGTACCCTAGAAAATTGTGGAGAGGACTAATTATGAAAAACTAATTGCAAAGAGTTCACATGACTTAGCATCTGAACGACAACAAATTATGAGACTGGCATGCAGGAAATACTCAATAAATGTTGTCAGTATCATTATCATCTACTTAATTTCTTTACACACTGCCCTCTCAGCTTCCTTTAGAACTAGATTTTATCTAACACCTCTTTTCTTAACTCTACTGTTACTTTGCTACTGCCTATAAATATACACTATTTTCCCTGTCCTCTTTCTTAATCATTATTCTTGATCACAGTCTGACCCATTCTTCAAACATGACTTTGTCTTCCAGGCTTCATCATATAGCCATCTCCAAGTCCTATTGGAAACTCACTCCCACTTCTAATCAATGAGCCAATGCCAGTAATTCAATGTCCACTCTGTCCTCTCCCTTTCCTAATAAGTGGTGTCATTCAGGTCATGGTTGATTCAGGCCCTCATCTCCTCTCATCTGGTCTCCTGCAGGGGTTCATTAATTGATCTGCTTGACTTCAGTCTCTTCAGGTTCATGTCTCTCCTACACTCCTGCCCTGTTCACTCATTTATTCAAGAAATATTTGCTGAGAACTTACCACATGCCAGGCATTATTCTAAGCACTGGAGACACAGCAGTTAATAAAACAAAACACAATTCCCCACTATCATTCAAATGGGAGGAAAGACAACAGCAGAGATAAATTGGTAAATCACATATGTTAGACTGTGATAAAGTGCCATTAAATAAAGCAAGGAAGAAGGATAAGGGAGTCCTGGGATGGGGGTTGTAATTTCACACTAGGGTCAGGGAATGGCCTCACAAATAATGTGGTATTTGTGTAAATACCTGAAAGAGGAAGGAGAACAGGTCATGCAAATATTTGGGAGAAAAACATATTCCTAAGAGAGGCAGGCCCTGAAATGCAACTTTAATTATGTCACTTCTTTGCAGAAACTTTAGTTTCTCCTTGTCAAGGAAATGAGTTAAAATCTCCTGGCAGTCAAGGCCATCCACAGCATGCTCCAAGCACCAGAATACCTTTAAACTTCTCCTCTTCCTCTATAGGTATATGCCAAAGTGAACTGAACCACTTATTTAGTTAAACAGCAGAGACAGAACTGGAACACTTTTAGCTGAGTTTCTGAAATTCTACTTAACCTTGCAAAACCCCTATCAAAAGCAACCTCCCCCTTTCCATCCCCAAATGACCACTGGCGCTTTAAATCCTCATTGCATTTGTTTCCGTGACTCTTGGCACTTATTCCCTGCAGTATATCTTAACCTTCAAGATCATGTTACTGTCTCTTTAACCCCCACAGGATCAGTGGAGCACACAGGAGTAGAACTCCTGGGATTCTGCTGCTTCAGAGTCCAACACTGTATGCCATATCCCTTTCTGGGAGTTAGCAGAGCAGACTCACTAAAGCCTTGGGTTCCAATTGTGACTCTACTAATGGCGGTAGTTCACAAAAGTGAACTTTGCTTTTTATGTGGTAAAACGAGGGTAACATCACCTCATACTTCATAGGGCCACCATAAGGACGAATTGGGATCATGCTTCTAATGTGCTCTGCACACTACCTACCACTCAAGACTTATAAATGACAGTTACTCTTGTTATCACCATCATCAAATGGTCCCTGCCCAAGGTAGGGTTTTAGAGTTCTAAGAAAAGCACTGTACACTGAAGAGCAGCCTCCGCTGTCTCAAAGCTTCTGAAACAAATCATAAACATGCAGGCAAAAAGGCATAGAGGGGAGATCTTGGGCCAGACTGGGAACACAAGACGATGGGGAGCAGGGGCTCATTTTAAGTCAATTAATATATAATTACATGTTTACTACATGCAAGGGATTGTGCTCGGTTGTTAAGGTTATTTGGATACTTCTCAACACTGAATTGGTCATCTGATGCGAAAGGCGAACTCATTGGAAAAGTCCCTGATGCTGGGAAAGACTGATGGCAGAAGGAGGAGAGGGTGTCAGAGGATGAGATGGCTGGATGGCATCAACTGATGCAATGGACATGAACTTGGGTAAACTTTGGGAGATGGTGAGGGACAGGGAGGCCTGGCATGCTGCAGTCCATGGGGTTGCAAAGAGTCAGACACAACTGGGTGACCAAACGACTCAACAACAACAACACTGAGTAACCATGTAACAGAAAGTCTTACCTCTCACAATCCTATACATTTCTCACACGAAATTTCAGTATATCCATTTCTAATGGAAAAACTTAAATTGGAGTATAGTTGGGCTTCGCAGGTGGTGCTAGTGATAAAGAACCCACCTGCCAATGCAGGAGACGTAGGAAACACCGGCTCAACCCCTGGGTCAAGAAGTCCCACTCCAGTATTCTTGCCTGAAAGATCCCATGGACAAAGGAGACTGGCAGGCTACAGTCCATGGGGTCACAAAGAATCCCACATGACTGGGCAACTAATACTTTCATAGTTCATTTACAATGTTGTGGTAGTTTCATGGGTACGGCAAAGTGAATCAGTTAAACATACACATATATTCACTCTTTTTAAATTCTCTTCCCATGTTAAGTCATTAGAGAGTGCTGGGCAGAGTTCCCTGTTCTACACAGTAGGCCCTTGTTAGTTTTTTTTTTAACTTATAATGAAAATGTTTAATGAGAAAAATAAGGAAAAGGGTGTAATGAACACCCTTATTATCTATCACCTAGATTTAAAGATTGTTAGCATTTTGTCATATTTGCTTCGACGTTCAAATTCAAACATCATGACAATTCCTTCCCAAACATGTTAGTCTGCCCCTCTAAAATTAAGAATAGAGTTTGAAAAATACCATACTACCTAACAAAGGTAATAATTTTATTGCTACTTGTTCCGTATACAATCTTCCTAAATTGATCCCCAAATGTTTTATACAAATCCAAGTCCCTTCAAGGCAGCTACTGCATCTAGTTACCTCTAAAAATTCTAGAACAGTAACCTCTCCTTCATTGACGACATCAATCTAATAAAGATATAAAAGAAACCAGTCCACCTGTCCTGTAGAATGCCCCATCTTCTGTATTTCACTGCTGTCTCGCAGCGAAATGAATCGTTTTAACTCTTTCACTCCCACTCAGGCAAGACGGATTGTAACTCCTTTTCCTCCAGTCTCCGCTCCCCGGTTCATTGCTCACCTTTCAGAACCTGCAGGAGCAGATCGATCCCCTCCTGGTAACACACCAGAGCTTGCGGGTACCGGGACTCGGACTCTAGTTCCAACGCCCGCTTTATCACAGTGACTGCAGCTGTGCTCCCAGCGTCCTGCGCCAGGCCGGATCTCGCCATAATCCCGGAAACTACATCAGCTTCTACAGGTTCCTTGGTGGGTGGGTCCGCGGCGCTCCCGCACGCGGTCACGTGACGCCCATGCATCTGCGCTCTCTTCTTATGGTGCCGGAGTGGGCGGGAGTCGGCTGGAACTAAAGTGCTGCACTGTGTGCGCACTGTTACGGCCGAGTTTGAGTGTGGCACTCCGGGTCCTTCCTCGGCTCCTGTTCTCCTCAGTGGTTAACTTAAGTCTGAGAGACTTCTAGCAGCTGCTGGTGAGTGGGGAGTGAGTGGCTGAAGGTATTGCATTTTTGCTAGGAGCATATATCTGGGAACCCTATGCAGATAAGGATTGATTTTGTCTATTCAATTCTGGGTTTACGGGTCACAGTAAGCTGAATGGGCTTGCGTCCAGGGTTGGCCCTTGGTCTCCCGAAAAGCCGCTTTCCGGCTGGATCACGTCTCCCAGTTTGAGGGATCCCGGGATGCGGCCTGAGGAGCCCCGCCTCCTGGAGCTCGAGGGCTGAGCGTCCCCGGCCCGGCAGTCTGGCGGGAATTTCTGTGCTTCTGTTTTACTCGTAACTTGGGCTTTCTTTTGGGGGGCAGCCTAACGAATTGTTAATGGTGATACAAAATTATCTAATTTAAAAATTGCTGCATTTTAGAACGCAAACCCCGCGGAGTTAGCTTATTTTACCTTTTGGGTTTTCCCTGACGGTCCAGTGGTTAAGACTCCGCGCTTGCACTGGAGGAGGCATGGGTTCTGTCCCTGGTGGAGAAACTTAAGATCCCGCTTGCTGTGGGACGCGGCCAAAAAAAAAAAAATTACCGTTTTACTAAAAGTCGTGATTTTGCAACCGTGTTTTGATCGCCACCTACTCAAAGCTACTTGTTTAGCGTTGTTTTGTTTTGTTTTTTCCCAAGAGGCGCTTAGGAGGGGCAGAAAAGAGGCATTTCTTGCCCTCAGAGATGTCAGTTTGTTCAAAGGGAAATTCTGCGTTCTGTGTTCCTTCCCAATCCCCATTTACTATTAAATAGATGTCTTGCCTCTTTAGAAAAGGAATTAGTTTTCTTTTTTTAAGAACAGTTACATGTACAGTCATTGTAAAAGAACAACAGCAACAAACCTATCAGACAATACCAGGGGTGGAAGTTAGGGGAAATAGTTCTGGTAGCCTGCCCTTCTCTCCCCAGATATGCTAACGTTTCTCTGATAGGCTTCTAGAGTTTCACAGACATCGCTCTCTCTTTTTAATGGAATGGAAGTGGGATCATAGTTCTCTTGTGTGTGTGTGTGTGTGTGTGTGCTCAGTCTTGTCCAACTCTTATACTGTTGCTCACCAGTCTCTGTCCATTGGATTTTCCAGGCAAGAATACTGGAGTGAATTGCCATTTCCTGTTACTCCAAGGGATCTTCCTGACCCAGGGATCGAACCTGCATCTCTTGCCTCTCCTGCATTGGCAGGCAGATTCTTTACCTCTGCACCACCTGGGAAGCCCTGCATTTATTTTCCTGGCTTTTCATCTGTGCGAGAGAAAGGTAGTTGTACAGTGAAAGACAGGTCCAAGAGTTATGTGCCTAATTATTAAGAACAACTTTTACTTTATTAGAACTTAATGACTTTTGACTGTCACACCTTCTGAAGTCTGGAAGTAAAACTTCATTCAGCAAAAATTGAGTGGCTGCTACAAGGCTATGCTGCTTAGGTAGATGCTTGAAATATGTCTGTGAATAGACAGAGCAAAACAAAATTTTAAAATCTTTGTCCTTGTGGAACTCACATGCTATTGGGTGGAAACAGATGGTAAACCACAAACCTAACAAGTAATTAAATTATGTTAGAAAATGTTAAGTGCTGTGGAAAGAAAGTCAAGTAAAGTAAAAGACATTGGGAGTGCTGACAATTGTCGTCTGGGTCAAAATGTTAAATAATGGAATCAGGGTAGACCTCATTGAGAAGATGAGATTTTAGCCAGAAATTGAAGGATGTGAGAGAATTAACTATGTGGATATCAGGGACATTCCAGGAGAGGGAATAGTCAGGGTAGTATGCCTGCCTGGCAAGTTACAGGGCTTTCTTGCAGCGGGTGTGTATAGCAACTGAGCAAGAGAATAATTGGAGATGAAATCCTCAAGGTGGAAGGTTAAGGACTGGCCGCCACTCTGAAATGAAGAGGCGTTAAGTTAAAAGTTTTCAGTCTAGTAATAAATAAACTTTAATTTTGGAGTAATTTTAGATTTACAGAAAAGTTATGCAGATATTAATATTTCCTATATACCCCGCCCACACAAAATTTCTCCTGTTATTAACATCTTACATTAGTGTGGTATATTTGTTATAATTGATAAACCAATATTAATACATTGTTAACTAAAGGTCATACTTCATTCAGATTTTTTTAGTTTTTACCTGATGTCCTTTTACTCTTTCAAAATTCCATCCAAGATACCACATTATGTTTAGTTGTCAAGTGCTCCTCTTGACTATGTCAGTTTCTCAGACTCACCTTGGTTTTGATGACCTTGACAGTTTTGAGGTGGTCAGGTATTTGAGGAAATACTGGTTAAGTATTTTGTACAATGTCCTTCAACTGGAGTTTGTCTGATATTTTTCTGTTAGAGTGATGATAGGGGTTTTTGGAAGGAAGACATAGAGGTGAAGTGCTGTTCTCAGTCTGTCACTCCGTGGATGCTATCAGCTTGGCTTTTATCACAGTTGATGTTAATCTTGATCACTTTGAAGATGTAGTGTTGGTTAGATTTCTCTAGTGCAACATTATTTCCTCCCCCCCCCCCCCCACGACTTCTTTCCTGACTCTAGCAGAAAGTCTTTAAGTGTACCCCATGCTTAAGAGTTGATAGCTTTTCTCCACCTCTTTGAGAGGGGAGTATCTACATAAATTATTTGAAATCCTTCTGTAAGAGAGATTTTTTTTTTTCCTCTCTCTCATCATTCATCTGTTTATATCAGTATGGATTCATGGTTAGTTTATGTTTTGGGTTTTATGCCAATACTGTATTACTTATCTTGTTGCTCATATTATTTCAGCTGTAGCTGCTGGGAGCTCTTTCGGTTGGCTTTTAGTCCCTTTGACATACCCCCATCATTTTTGACTTTTTGAGTAGTTCCTTTCTAGCACTACACGATGCTCCAGACTTACCTTTATATATTCTTTATATATTCCTTGCTACAGCCGTGTAATCAGCCTTTTCTCCAAGGAGTCCTGATTCTTTTTATCAGAGAATGCTATTAGGAACTAAGATCTTAGCACTGGGTGTGCTCATTCCTATTGGGATGCCATTGTTTTTAGGTCCTCTCAGCTAAGAGGGCCAACCCATGTATATATATGTATCTATAATTATTTCTATATCCATCATATCTTTATTAAGCTAAATGTTAGTTCCACCACTAATCCTGTGTCATGGGATGACATAGATATTCTACCCTTCCTCTCTGGCTTGTGTGTAACCACCTACTCTAACAATGAGAAACCTGGGTCTTTGGAAGGTTTTGAGCAGAGGTGTTGATATTACCTGATTTCAGATTTAGTGAGATGATTGCTGCCATGGGGAAAAGACCTTGGGGAAATTAGAACAGAAGCAGGAAGGCCAATTAGGAGGCTTTGCTTGGAATCTAAATAAGAGAAAGATTTAACAAAGAGCCAAGTTAAATAAATTGGATTAGTACCTAACTTTGTGCTTACGTACCTACTATCTTTGTTAGTACCTAAGAAAATGCTTAACTTTGGAGGAAGAAGTATGGTAGGGAAAATAATTTAGATTGTTTGATTGGAGCACTGGAGGATTAAGCATCTCTTCGAAAGAAGCCTTGATACAAAGGATCTAAACAGACAGCCAAGCAAACTGGATAATTTGAACTAGAAATTGCTATGCTGTATTGTAATGTTTGAAGTATAAAATCTGAATGGCAGTTATGAAATTCTGATTTACTTCTGAATTCTTGGTTGAATGGACCATGGATGTAACCCATTAATTAATTCAGACATTCATCAACAAACATGGTGCCTGCTGTCTATCAGATAGTGCGCTGGATGCCAAGAATATAGAATATGAATAAAACAAAAGTTTTGCTTTTAGGGCACTAAGATTATAGTAGTTAGCGCTTCTAAAACTGATACAGAATTTTGAAATACTGGTTCAGTTGCTGAGAATTTTTCTGAAGTCAGGCCCTTTTAGGGGGACATCTTGCATTGATTCCCCAACTTCATTGCTTTTTCCACACCACAGGAAAGACCTGCAGAGCTTGAGTGAGCCAGAATCTGGTAGACATTGAAATACAGCACTTACCTTATTTTGGCATGTTAGGGTATTCTTATTGTAGCTCTGTAATAACTTAATGATCTTATAATAGTAAAAGTTACCATCTATTAAGGGCTTCTGATACGCCAAGTACTGTTTTAGATGTTTTTAGAATAATTCATTTGCAAGATAGGTATTATTTTCTTTCTGTTCTTGGAGGTGGGGGGAATTGAAACATATGAATTAAGTCACATATCCAAAATATATTAATGCATGTAGTTCATGAACTTAATCTTTCTACATTCAGTTTAAGTCAGTATGTGTGTGTGTGTGTGTGAGAGAGAGAGAGAGAGTCACTCAGTCATGTCTGACTCTTTGCAACCCCATGGACTGTAGCTCACCAGCCTCTCTATCCATGGAATTCTCCAGGCAAGAATACTGGAGTGGGTAGCCATTTCCTTCTCCAGGGTATCTTCCCAGCCCAGGGATCAAACTTGGGTCTCCTGCGTTGCAGGCAGATTCTTTGCCCTTTGAGCCACCAGGGAAGCCCTTAAGTCAGTATAGTAGGCTATAATTGTTCTGTGTCTAAATAAACTTGACTTTTACTTTATAAAAGCAATGCATGTTCGTTAAAAATAGCTTAAAATGCAAATAAGCAAAAAAGAGCATCCTACTGTTCTTAACAGAAGGGTGTTAGGATTTAATGAAAATGTAATAAAAGAATTAGGTTCCAGACCAAATACTCTCTTAAAAGCTGGATGCTCTTGGGTAAAATGACTGAACTCTCTGGGATTCATTTTCCATATAATTGAAGTAAGAAGGTCATTAGTTCCAATTAGGAGTTGGGGTGTCTTCAGTCCTTTCCAGCTCTCTTTTTTTTGTGATACTACAACAAAGCATTCTTTATCTGCCCTCCCTGTTGAAGATTTTTTGAATGATAGTAACCTCCACTACCCATTTTTGTTGTTGAAATCAACTTAGGGTTTAACTCTTTGGTGAAAATGGTACATGGTTAATGTATAATTACTGCCTATGGTTTTCTTGAACTCTGACTAAAACATTTATTATAACTTAATTCTTGTCCTTATTGTATTAAAACAACCAAGATTGTACTGTTAAACTTCATCCAGTTTTTCAATTTGCTCAGCAAACAATAAGTTACTACAGAAATGGGAGAGCTATCTGTTTCCAAAATATACGTGACCCACAGGTCTGTTTTTTACTTCTCACAGCCTCTAAAGAGAGCAGCCACCACATCCATGGCAGGGATTTTGCGCTCAATAGTTCAGAGGCCCCCAGGGAGACTTCAAGTAAGTGTTTCTTTTCAGTAATTATCTTTTTCATTGTCTTGCTTTTCTATTCCTTAAGAACTTTTTATCTCTTTTCTAATTAACAAAACATACAGGCAAGTTAAATTTTTAAGTTTCTTCATATATTTTTTTTCTTTTTTTTTTAATGTTGAGAGTTGATTTTATTTGGTTTCTTTGCTGTTTTATCCCTAAAGAATTGAAATCACAAAAGACCTTTTCCTGGAGAATATGCTGGTAAAAAATGACTAGTGTTGATTTCCCTTTGTCCACCTTAATCTTTTTAGACTTTTTTTTCCTTTCAATTATAAAGAGAGTGCATTTTCAATCTTGAAAATTAGAAAAATGTAGAAAAGTAGAAAGAAGAGAAACAATTTTCCAAAGATCATTTATGTTTGTACTTCCATGTATTTCCTTCTAGTCTTTCTTTTAGAAATTGCAGTGGTGTAGCTAGTCTACTCATGAGGGCCAGAGTCTAGGTAGGACCTCCAATTAGATGATGATAATGTCAGATGTTTGAGATTCTTACCTTAGCCTCAGATTAATCCTGGGTGGTCAGTATTATTTCCTGGTGGATCAGAGCTTGTGTCCATCACCTCCCCCCACTGCCCACCGCAGCCCCCCACCCCCGTCCCCATTCCTTCCTGCTTATTCTCCCAGTGCTCTCTGCTGTCCAGGGAAGGCATAGAGGGAATGATTACTGCCTACCCAGAGGAGTTTCCTGGTATGAAGGATTGGCAGTGAATCCTTTTTCTTCAGCAGCCTGGGAGAAATACTACTGGAGGCTTGTAGAAAGAGAACAGGAGACAGGAACCCAGAGTTCATGACACTGTTGGGACTAGAAAGAAAACTGGAAACTCATTTTGACTTTCTTTTACATTGTGTTGTTGAAGGATAAATTACTGTATGTTGTCTTGAGTGCATTGATTAACTATAACCTACAGGCCAGGTTCAGCCCACCATCGGTTTTTGGAAAAGTGTTATTAGAACATAGCCACAACAATTTAATTATTGTTGATGGCTGCTTTGGCCCTGCAGTGGCAGAGCTGAGACTTGGCTCTGGGAACCATGTAGCCAGAACCGGAAATATTTATTGTCTACTCCTTTACAGAAAATTATTGCCAATCACTGGTTTAAATGTTTATATTAATATTTAATGTTAGTGGTAAGATAAGATGTATATTCATTCAGCTAGGGGGTTGAGATAAATGTTTAATAATTACAGGTTAGGTAAGAATAGGGCTTCCCTTGTGGCCCAGACAATAAAGAATCTGCCTGCAATGCAGGAAAACCCAGGTTCAATCCCTTGGTTGGGAAGATACCCTGGAAAAGGAAATGGCCACCCACTCCAGTATTATTGCCTGAAGAATTCCAGGGACAGAGGAACCTGGCGAGCTAGGGTCCTTGGGGCTGCAAAGCGTCAGATAAGACTGAGCGAGTAACACAAGAACAAAAAGAATGGACTTTCATCACCTAAAAACAGTAGGTTTGGATTTCTGTACTAGATAGAGCGCTAAAAAACAAATGTTTTATGTCATATTTTAGACGGCAACAAAAGGTGTGGAGCCTATTTGTACAGATTGGATTCGTCACAAATTTACGAGGTCAAGAATTCCAGATGAAGTAAGAACAAGGTTTTATTTTCCTATTACTATTTTTTAAAAACATGTTGTATTTTGAAAGGTACTGGTTTTTGCAATATCAGAAACTTTCATGTTAAATTATTTGTCGATATAGGTAGAAGGGTAGAGTTTTAAACATAGTGTGATTTAGGTAAATAATTATTAAAAATAAAATTGTGCTACTGGCCTTTTAAGTAGTGGATTTTTTATCATCTCAGAACCTGTTTATTCCTGATTATGGTTTTTTTCCCTTAATATTTTGTGTTTTCATAGCACTGTTGTCCTGAGAAAACTGTCTTCTTCCTGCTCATTCTGTCCCTGTGGCTCTTGGTTTTTACTCTCTATCAACTGTTGCTAATTTGGATCTTCTCTGCTAAACTTGTGTGTACCTATCATTCTTTCAAAAAACACTGGCTAAGCCCTCAATAGATTTTTCTTTTGTTTTCTCCAATTTTTCAGTATTGTGGTAAAATGCATAAGGTATAAATAAACTTTAGTATCGTAACTGTTTTTTTTTTAAGTGTACACTTCAGTGATATTATGCGTTTCACTGGTGGCTCAGATGGTAAAGAATCTACCTGCAATGCAGGAGACCCTGGTTCAATCCCTGGGTGGGGAAGATCCCCTAGAGAAGGGATGGCAACCCGCTTTAGTATTCTTTCTTGGAGAATTCCATGGACAGAGGAGCCTGGTGAGCTATGGTCTAGGAGGTCGCAAAGAGTTGGACACAACTGAATGACTAACACTTTCACTCAGTGATGTTAAGTACTTTCATATTATCGTGTGACCTTCAGAACCGTCCGTCTCCAGAACTCTTTATCTTACAAAATTGGAACAACTCTGTTCCCATTAAACGGTAACTCCTCATACCTTCTTCCCCCAGTCTCTGGCAACCACCATTCTCTACTGATTTTTTAAGAGCTGAAATAGTATTACCGTCAATTATTTTGATACCTTTAACATGCTTGATGTTCCTTTATCAGAAATCTTTTTTCCAAGTCATGGTCTGCAACTACATTGTCATATCTTTCCATGTTTCTTAGACTCTAAACTTCTGTAAGAAAAGGATAGATACAGATGTTAACATTTGTTTAAAATGTGGAAGGCGGTGATTTTGATCGCCAGTTGTAGTGAGTTTGAAAACTTTCCAGCCTCATAGAAATGACTCTGAAGTGTGCATCTGTAGCCTATTGCCTGTCTTCCAGACTTATTCCTGTTTTCTCAAATGATTTCTAAACCTTGCTGCTTGGATAACCCATAGGTATTTCAAGTTATTCAAAATTGAACTCATTGTCTTACTTTCCCTCCAAATAACCAAACTGAAAGAATGTACTTGTCCTGTATTAGTAATGTCAGTTGATCCTCTGTCTGATTTCCCAGACTGAAAACCTCTGAGTCAGTCTCAACCCCGTCTGCTCCCTCACCCACCACAAATCCATCTATTTTACTGGCCAAAATCCCCAGATCAGTCCTTTTCTGTTAAAGCTGCTGTAATTCAGACCCTCAAACCATGTCCCTAAGACCTTCCTGAGTTTTTTTTTGTATCAGTCTCCAACTCCAGTTCTTTTGAAAGAGTTTTTCTTTCCGAATCTATCTTTGAAATGTCATATTGTTTCAAACCTCCAATAGCTTTATATGCCTTCTGGAAATTTCTAAAGGCTCAGCATAGTTGAGCTTAGTTTAACTCCTCCGCCTGCATTGCTTTTCATGTTTTTTTTCCTACCTTATTCACATGGAACCACTGACTTTTCCTAAATATTTCATGCTCCTCACACCATTTCTTTAAGTCGTCTTTTCTTTTCTTTGGTGCACCTACCCCATCCTCTGTATGCCATCATTCTTCTCACCCTATGTTTCTTCAAAAGCTCTAGAAAAATACCCTTCATCCCACCCGTTTGGAGACAACCACTGCCCACGCCCTTCATGTACTTCTCTTTTACATATTTTTAAAGATGTGCATCATCTTGGCTATAATGCTTCTCTAGCTGCTCTCATCATTTAGCAATGTAACCTGATCCCTCTGTGGAGGAATTAATGATTAAATAATATTATTTGTGATTAAAGTAACATCTTTTTTTTTTTGTCCTTCCTCAGTCTGTTTCCCCAGAGGTCTGACTCTCAACCTAATGTTTTTGAGAACTTTCTACATTTAAGGTTTTGTGTGTGTGTGTGTGTGTGTGTGTGTGTGTGTGTGTGTAGATGTATACACACACATATATGGGTTCCCTGGTGGCTCAATGGTAAAGAATCTGTCTGCAATGCAGGAGACCTGGATTTGATCCTTGGGTCGGGAAGATCCCCAGCTCACTCCAGTGTTCTTGTCTGGAGAATTCCATGGACAGAGGAGCCTGGTAGGCTATAGTCCATGGGGTTGCAAAGAGTTAGACACGACTGAGTGACTAACACACACACATATGTGTAGAATTGTTAGAATCATGTTTAGAATTTATGGTCATATTCTTAGAATTGATATTTATAGAATACATCATATGTACACACTCATCATGGTACAGATGAAGCAAATACAGAATCCTACTACACATAGTGGTGTAGAAATTTGTTTTTTAGTGGTGTGGAAATTTAGTTGTTTTTGCTCAAGAGTATATTGTGACCATTCTTCAAAATTAGTACCTACAAAAATGGTAAATGGTAAGCCTTATTCATTTTGATAGCAGCATTAAATCCAGTAGAATACAGCAGAATTTATTTGTGTCATGTCTAATTTAGTTAATATCATTGATAGTTTTATTTAGAATGAAAACTGACTATGCAATAATCCTAATTTTTAGCTATTCTCTTGAGGAATATGGATATGGCCTTTAAATGTTTCAGTATTACAAATAGTGTTATACATATATCCTTATTTGGGGATGTAGCCCAGTACATACTTCTTTTTAATAATACTCATGTGTTACTGTAAGTTTATATTTATCCCCTCCTTGAATGGGGTAGGGGATGCAGTTCAAGGCTTAGCCGGTATAGTGCAGTGCCTTCTCCTGGCATTTGTCACCTGGTTCTTCCTGCTTTTTTCTTTATCAAAACAAAAGAAAATCCCTGGCTGTGTGATGTTTTTCTTAGTGCATGAACTCCTTTGACTTCATCTATCTGAGTAGTCAGACTGGTAGAAATGTTCGATTTGAGGATGAGAATTGTAGAGTGATTAGATATGAAATTATTATATAGTTGTTTGAAGTTTTTTGTTTTTGTTTTTTTTAAGAAAAGGGGGGGTACATTGAAGCTGTGTTGAAAATTTATCATTTATAGTTTTTCTCTCTAGGTTTTTCGGCCTTCACCTGAAGATCATGAAAAATACGGTGGGGATCCACAGCAACCTCATAAACTGCATATTGTTACCAGAATAAAAAGTACAAAAAGACGTCCATATTGGGAGAAAGATATAATAAAGATGCTTGGGTTACAAAAAGTATGTACCTATTTTAGTCATCTTTAGTGTTGTTTAAATTTGCTGTAAGTTTTCCACCTTTAAAACTTTTAATCTACTTATTTAATATTTCTTTTGTTTAAACGTATTATTTCATGTAATGTATTAGAAAATTTGATTTAGATAGAAGGAGACTTCACCTTAACCTCTTGCTGAAACGTGGGACCATCTGCACTGTTGAAATTGATTCCTAATGTTGTTTCCTTTGTTTGTAGGCACACACTCCTCAAGTTCACAAGAATATCCCTTCAGTGAATGCAAAACTGAAAGTGGTTAAACATTTGATAAGGTTTGTTATTTGTTATTCTAGCAGTTTCTTAAAACGTGTTACCTGTAACACTAACAGCGTCCTCTCATGTCACAGAATCAAGCCCCTGAAGCTGCCCCAGGGTCTCCCAACAGAGGAGGACATGTCCAACACGTGCCTGAGGAGCACTGGCGAGCTGGTCGTGCGGTGGCTCCTGAGCCCCGCGGACCGGGAAGCGAAGAAGTGCTGACGGCCCAGCAGCTTCAGAGTAGAAAGTGGAAGTCATTTCTATTTAAAGATGGTGAGAAAGTGTTCTCATTAAAATATTAAAAAAATTCTAATCCTTTTCACTGGCTAAACATGGTGTGATTCTTCCTTGGTGTAGACTTGGAGGTTTTAGTGCTATTAATTGGTTTAATTCCCTCCCCACCCCACCCTCAGTGGTTTATCTCCCCTTCCCCCCTACTACCCCCCTGTAGTGTAACTGGAAAATGGGTAGGAATAGCAGTGTTTAAACACATGGGTTCAGGTGACACCTTAGCAATCATCATTAACTTTTTTAAAAAATGGTTTTCTTACTTGGATTCAGCACACTCTATGAGTGGCCCTTTAAAAAAAATTTTTAATTGAAGGATAGTTGCTTTACGGTATTGTGTTGGTTTCTGCCAAACATCAACATGAATCAACCATAGGTATACATATGTCCCTTTCCTCTAGAACCTCCCTCCCAATCCCATCCCTCTAGGTTGTTACAGAGCCTATAAGTGGCCTTTTGAGTGAAGAGTGTGTTATGTGTTGGGCAAATCCAGAGCCGACCAGATGTGGTTCCTGCCCTAATGGAGCTTAGTCTGCTCTGCCTGAGAACAGAGATTCAGCCAGAGGCATTAGACACCAGGTATAGCTTGACTGATTGCTGTTTGCTGTCGTGTCTGTAAGTACATATGTGGACTTGGCTTCATTCTATCCTTTAACACCCAATAGTATATCTGTTTTCTAGTTATAAATCACATTTGGCCTAAACTTTATTGATATTCCTTGAATTCCTAGAAACCTCTGCCAACAGTTGAGGTTTACTATTTAAAAGAAGAATGAGAAGGGAAAAGTCCTTTAGGGAAAATTATTTTCTTTCCTTTGTTTCTATTTCAGATACTTGTAGGGGTGGGGAGAAGTAAGAATTTTAGGAGAGGTTCAGTACTGGGAGATCTTATGGCAGCTGATAACTAAAGATGATGCTGAACACTCGAAATTCTAGTTGCCCTTTATTTTCCTGCCTTCAACTCTTCTAAAACCTGGCTCAGGCAGCAGTAACATTGGCATACTCGCTGCCTGTGGTCCCAGTGTCTGTCCTGTGAAAGTCTGGGCATCAAGCAGAAGTGCTGCCTAAAGTGAAGCCACATGTCATGAATTAATAAGCTTCAAGGCAGTCACAGTTTCAGTTCCACAATTACTGAACATCTGGTACATATACAGCCTGGAGAGGATATAAAGCAGAAGGATGCTATCTTCACAGAGCTGGTTCTAACTGGAGAGATACCTGCTGGCTGCAACAGAAGCTGTCCATGCTGGAGTTAGCTTGAGGCCAGGTGTGGATATGAAAGTTGCCCCTGCTGATGTTTTCCCATCTTTTACTGGGCTAATACTGCTTAACACGGGGAGAGGACCATTGGTTAATTTCTACCCAAAGAGTCTAATAAAGTTTGGGTAAGTTATTTTAACCTTAGCTGTGCCTGACTAAAGGAAAATATCTAAATGTTCATTTGGATGTTTAGAAATGAAATTGTCTGAGGGGGTGGTCCTAAGATGGCAGAGGAATAGGTTGGGGAGACCACTTTCTCCCGCACAAATTCATCAAAAGAACATTTGAACGCTGAGCAAATTCCACAAAATAACTTCTGAATGCTGGCAGAGGACAACAGGCACCCAGAGAGGCAGCCCATTGTCTTCGAAAGGAGGTAGGACAAAATGTAAAAGATAAAAAGAGAGACAAAAGAGGTAGGGACAGAGATCCATCCGGGAAGGGAGTCTTAAAAAAAGTTTCCAGACATCAGGAAACACTCTCACCGGCGGGTCTGTGGCGAGCCTTGGGATTTCAGAGGGCAACATAACTGGGAGGAAAAAAAAAAAAAGTAAATAAATAAATAATTAAAACCCACAGATTACATGTGGAGCAGCAGCCCAGTGGAGCAGCAGCCCAGTGGAGCAGCAGCCCAGTGGAGCAGCAGCCCAGACGCTCGCATCCGCCACTAGCAAGCAGGGGAGGGACAGGGAAGCGCGGGCTGCATTGCTTAGGGTAAGGGTCAGCCTGAATGTTCCAAGGCCAATCTGAGGGAACTAACTTGAGATAGCAGCCCAGACTGTGGGATAGCTATCCCGCGCAAAGCCCTAACCTAAGACACCGCCAGGCCTGCTCACAGAACAAATGGCTGAGCAGAGCTAGCTGGCTGTGGACCAGCCCATCCCCCGCCGGAGACAGGCAGGCCAGGACAGCCAGAGCCAGAAGGGGGAAATCGCGGCCACAGAGAGGCATCCTCTACCAAACTGCAAGCAGGCTTCGTTGCTAACCAAGACTTCTTGGGATTCTGGATGGTCGACATCTGCCGAGAGGGTCGCAGCCAGAGATCAGCTCCCCGGAAGAGACACACGGCACATCTGAGAAGGCACGCCCATTGTGCACCCAGAAAACCGAGCAGCTGGGATGGGGGAGATGATAAGATGCAGCCTCCAACTGGGAGCGACTGCACTCGCCAAGCACCTGGTCACGAGAACTGCTTGGACCTGGGAAGGGCACAAAACGCAGGCCCTAAGGAGTCTGTGCCTTTGTGGAGTACCCAAGAACCTGAACCTGAGCGACTTAGACCTGGAAAGTGCATGCAACCCAGGGCCTGCCCGACAGTTCCCAGGAGAGCAACCTAGAGCCTGAGCAGTGTAGACTGGGAGGGCACACACAGGCGGCGGCAAACCCAGTGTGGCTGAGACACTGTGCACACTCCCCACACACACGAGTGATATTTGTTCACAGTGTCCCTCCCTCCCCACAGCACGACTGAACAAGTGAGCCTAAAAATGTGACCATCACCGCCCCTTTGTGTCAGGGCAGAAATTAGACACCGAAGAGACCACCAAACAGAAGAAGCTAAAATAAACAGAGGGAACCGCTTTGGGAGTGACAGGTGCAATAGATTAAAACCCTGTAGTTAGCACCAACTACATAGGAAGGGGCCTATAGACCTTGAGAAGTATAAGCCGGCCCAAGGAACTACCTGAAAATGAACTGACCCCACACTGTCTGCAACAGCTCCAGAGAAAGTCCTAGATATATTTTCACTATTATCATTTTTTTAAATTAATTAATTAATTAATTTATTTTTTTATCACAACCATAGTGTATCTTTTTTTTTTTTTTTACATGTATTCCCCATCCCGGTCCCCCCTCCCACCTCCCTCTCCACCCAATCCCTCTGGGTCTTCCCAGTGCACCAGGCCCGAGCACTTGTCTCATGCACCCAACCTGGGCTGGTGAACTGTTTCACCCTAGATAATATACGTGTTTCAATGCTGTTCTCTTGAAACATCCCACCCTCGCCTTCTCCCAGAGTCCACAAGTCTGTTCTATACATAGGAGTCTCTTTTTCTGTTTTGCACATAGGGTTATTGTTACCATCTTTCTAAATTCCATATATATGTGTTAGTATACTGTAATGGTCTTTATCTTTCTGGCTTACTTCGCTCTGTATAATGGGCTCCAGTTTCATCCATCTCATTAGAACTGATTCAAATGAATTCTTTTTAATGGCTGAGTAATATTCCATGGTGTATATGTACCACAGCTTCCTCATCCATTCATCTGCTGATGGGCATCTAGGTTGCTTCCATGTCCTGGCTATTATAAACAGTGCTGCGATGAACATTGGGGTGCACGTGTCTCTTTCAGATCTGGTTTCCTCGGTGTGTATGCCCAGAAGTGGGATTGCTGGGTCATATGGCAGTTCTATTTCCAGCTTTTTAAGAAATCTCCACACTGTTTTCCATAGTGGCTGTACTAGTTTGCATTCCCACCAACAGTGTAAGAGGGTTCCCTTTTCTCCACACCCTCTCCAGCATTTATTGCTTGTAGACTTTTGGATAGCAGCCATCCTGACTGGTGTGTAATGGTACCTCATTGTGGTTTTGATTTGCATTTCTCTGATAATGAGTGATGTTGAGCATCTTTTCATGTGTTTGTTAGCCATCTGTATGTCTTCCTTGGAGAAATGTCTGTTCAGTTCTTTGGCCCATTTTTTGATTGGGTCATTTATTTTTCTGGAGTTGAGCTGGAGGAGTTGCTTGTATATTTTTGAGATTAATCCTCTGTCTGTTGCTTCGTTTGCTATTATTTTCTCCCAATCTGAGGGCTGTCTTTTCACCTTGCTTATAGTTTCCTTTGTTGTGCAAAAGCTTTTAAGTTTCATTAGGTCCCATTTGTTTATTTTTGCTTTTATTTCTAAAATTCTGGGATGTGGGTCATAGAGGATCCTGCTGTGATTTATGTCGGAGAGTGTTTTGCCTATGTTCTCCTCTAGGAGTTTTATAGTTTCTGGTCTTACATTTAGATCTTTAATCCATCTTGAGTTTATTTTTGTGTATGGTGTTAGAAAGTGTTCTAGTTTCATTCTTTTACAGGTGGTTGACCAGTTTTCCCAGCACCACTTGTTAAAGAGGTTGTCTTTTTTCCATTGTATATCCTTGCCTCCTTTGTCAAAGATAAGGTGACCATAGGTTCGTGGATTTATCTCTGGGCTTTCTATTCTGTTCCATTGATCTATATTTCTGTCTTTGTGCCAGTACCATACTGTCTTGATGACTGTGGCTTTGTAGTATAGTCTGAAGTCAGGCAGATTGATTCCTCCAGTTCCATTCTTCTTTCTCAGGATTACTTTGGCTATTCGAGGTTTTTTGTATTTCCATACAAATTGTGAAATTATTCGTTCTAGTTCTGTGAAAAATATCGTTGGTAGTTTGATAGGGATTGCATTGAATCTGTAGATCGCTTTGGGTAGTATAGCCATTTTGACAATATTGATTCTTCCAATCCATGAACACGGTATATTTCTCCATCTGTTTGTGTCCTCTTTGATTTCTTTCATCAGTGTTTTATAGTTTTCTATGTATAGGTCTTTTGTTTCTTTAGGTAGATATACTCCTAAGTATTTTATTCTTTTTGTTGCAATGGTGAATGGTATTGTTTCCTTAATTTCTCTTTCTGTTTTCTCA